ATTACTTTTTCACATAAGACCAGGTAGATTTACATATTTTTTCCCTTAATACATGGAAATAAATCTGCATTTTGTATTTACTCAGGCAATCTTTGTCCAATACTATTGATAAACAACAACAACAACTTAGAAATTCTTAAATTGTTTTTAAACAGTTCCATGAAAAAGTACTTTCCCCTGTCTTGATTTCTGACTTTTCACCACCACGTTCACTGGTAGCCACTGATTTTATATGACTTTTATCACATCACAATAGATTATTTCTATTCATTCTATAAAAGAAGGTCGCGGCTAGAGAAAATAGCAGCTATGCAGGTTTTTCTTTGTTTTATTGTGTATGTTTCCTACCTTTATTAATTTTATTGTTCATATGTCCTCTCCAACCTCTGCTCTGTCTCTTCAGCCCCCCCAACTTTCACAGATACACCACCTCAGTACGTGGAGGCCAAGGAGGGGGGGAGCATCACTTTGACCTGTATAGCCTTTGGGAATCCCAAACCCTCAGTCAGCTGGTTGCGGGAAGGTAGTCTCATGGTCAGCAGTGCCAAGTATAAGGTAAATACTTTATATTCGTATCAGCTGTTTATTAAATATCTTACTATAGTCATACTATAGACTAACAGTTGCAGGCACTGAGACCGCTGTGTTTGTACGAAGCATCTGGCCTCATCATGCAAAGTCTGCCAGCAAGGTGCCGACTCCCACAGTTAAATATGTAAAAGTTTACTTGTTAGCAAACTGTTGCTTCTTTACACCAGTAGCTGATACGGGGCTACACCATCATTTAGTTTTAGTACAATCTGATATTGAATGTTTTTGTAGCTCCACATTTGGTCTCTAACAGTTTTGAGTGAGTGGGGTCTTTCTTAGCATCATATATAAACAAGGAAAAATGCCAAGAGATACTTCCACAGATGTCTAGTCTTGTGGTCTTAATCATCAGAGCAGAATTCAGAAATTCAGAAGTCTAGTGAATATTGCAGACGTTATGGTTTTCTCCCACATGTCCTCTTCACTCTGAGTGTTTGTGTGTAGGGGGGCATGGAGCACACTGGCTGAGAGATGGTGAGAAGAGAAGCTAGTGTCACTCAAGTTGATGACATCTCATTAGCCTGCAATAAAAGCTTCCCAACAAGCAAAGATGATCAGAAAGGTTTGATGGCAGGGAGCCTCGTGCTGGCTTGCAGGTCTGCTGGAGAGGAATAACATTTAAAACCTCTCTGGTGAAAGTCTGTTGCTTCCTTGAACGTCTCAAATTGGTCACTTAAAAGATGTTTTGAGCTGTAACAGCATCTTGAGTCAGGCTGTTGTGACTACTCAGGTTGAATAAATGCGTTTGCAGTCTTTAGATTGAGAGATCTACGTTTGAAATGGCAACATTCAATTAACAGACAACTCCTCAGCTTGACTCCTTGTTTCCTTACTACTTTCAACAATCAGAGATTATAAGATTCACTGTGTGTTCCAGCACAGGGAGTTTTTCTCAGTAACCATTATTCCATTCACACATAATGTAACAGAACTTTTATTTTCATTTAAAAAGAAGCCTTTTGTGATCGTTTTGTTGCTGTACCGTAATGAATCCTGCAAGAAGAACGGGAATGACTCCCTCAGTTTAGATCAATTATTTAGGTGACTGAGCTTTGTTCACAGGAGAGTTATACATATAAATTTATCCGTCTCTCAGGCAGCAGCTTTCTTCCAAATTAGTCACGATACTTTGGGCTGTTATAGACTGATAACAACTGTAAACCATGAGCATGTGCTAACACAAAGATGTGGGAGAGATTTTAATCTGAATAACAATTTGGTATTGATATGAGTGGCTGCACTCTGATCTGATTTAAGAGAAAAACCTCTGAAGACAGATCTGGATGGTGAGCAGTGCTTTAATTTAACAAAATAAGTGGTAATGTGGTGATGTTTGGGTTTCCACTGTGGAAAGGGGCTGTAAAATGAAACTCCCAGGGATGGTTGCGGTTGCCTAGATTTCCAGCAGGTGGAGGGGCGCCAAAAATTAGGATATGCTCTCAACTCAAGTCAGCAATTCAAAAGGTTTTATGCAAGACAGCGACGATCAGGAAAAAATAAAGTCATTTTCCAAAAATGGGTTCTGCAGTTATTGCGTCTGATTTACTGACCTTTTTATTTGGTGTTCTGTTATTGCTGAGGTCATTGAGTGTCTGCCCCAAATAAAAAACTTTCACACTGATATTTTCTGTCTTCATGTGGGTCCTCAGATGTCTAACTAAGGAAGCACATAAAATGAAACTGTATGTGGTCAGCAACCTGGATATTATAGGAATCATAGGGGGATATGGGAATAACAAACATGCAATAAATAACAGGAATTGGTCTGCAAGTAGACACACTACCTGGCAGATGATGTTGATTGCAGGCATTTTTTGTTATAACTAACAACTTGCTGCCCTCTGGCCAGGTCTCATTCAGAAAAGACTTTTCACCTGGAAAAATCATTTTTTTCACACAAAGTGTTTCATTTTTTGTGTTAAC